AACCAAGGGTTGCCTTGCCTAAAAAAATAAAAAAAAAATTTACAACTTGTCTTCTCTGAACTAGGTGTTGCCAAAGTCCATACCACGAACATCTTGCCTACATCTTGCCTGTGCTAGCGCATTAGTTTCCATACCAGACTACACACTCCACTCTTACCTCCTGATAAGCCGTTTGCTGTACACTTGCCAGAGTGATCTTCTAAACATCTCAATGAGATCACATCAACCCCTTCCAGTGGCTTCCCATTTTCATCATAGCTCCTTTTCTGCCTATCTCTCCAGCTTCATTCCTCACCACTCCTCTGAGTGGGAAGCCACCAGTGACGCTCCAGCCACAGTGGCCTTCTTTCAGTTCTTCGCGCATGTCTTGCTGATGCCTAATCTGGGGAATTTTTGCTCTCTTTTCCTTCTGCCTGGAGGCCTCTTGTCACATTTCTAGTGGCTGATTCTCATCCTCCAGGCTAACTAAAGTGTTGCATTCTCAAATGTCTTCCCTGACCACCGGCCTGCTGTTCTCTCACCCATTGTACCTCCCAATAATGTTATTTTGTTTTGTTTTGTTTTTCATAGCACTTATCTCTGTTTGATTAAGTATTTCTTTCCTGTTTCTCATAATAAGCCCACCTCCACCACTACTTATTGTTTTTAAGTAAGCTCCATGAACTCGGGGACCTTGTCTATTTTGTCACTTCTGTATCCTAGATAGTATCTGAGTAGGTCCCAAGAGAAATCACCTCTCCAGATGAAGACCATAAGGACAGCAGAAAGCTCCACAGAACAAGAATGGTGGTGGCAGCAAGTGAGAAGTGAAAACTGGGACGGAGTGGGGAGGCTGAGCTTGGGATCTGCTGCTTAGCTTTCTTCCTGGAATTAGTCCTCACAGGTTCTTCTTTGACTGTTGTTCGATATTTGCAAATAGAAGACACACAGGACAGAATTAAAAGAAAATGTGGAACAGCTTCTGGGTCAGATGGAGGTTCACTGGGCTGGGAGAGACTGGAGGAAGCATAGTTTGGAGAGTTCTAGAAGGGCTCCCCATTCACTTATGAACTTCACTGATGTGTAAACCCAGAGACCCATATAGTTGTAACTCAATGAAAATACAGTTTTATGTTGTGTTTCCATTCTGTGGCACTGTCCAATACTAGTTCCCTGCATCGGTCTAATTTCTGTGTGTTTGTCTTCAGTTAAGGTGATAAATTGATGCTTCAGTTAAAGTGTCAAATAGTTCCCCCATCATTTTTTTGGTCACACGCAATTTTGGGGAATTCGTATTATTTCTAACTTTTCTCTGTTACACAATGGAAAGTATAAACAGATTTGTACAAATTTACTCCTCACTGAGTTACTTCCATTTTGCCTATTTTAGCAAGTGGAATTATTGGATCAAAAAGTAGGAGCCATTTTATAGCTCTTGCTATTACCTGATTAAGCAATATTTGGAGGGCATGGGTCATGAAACTCTTTTAAAATATTTAAAAGGTTGAGTGTGAAGGGGAACTGAATTTGTTTTGAATGGCTCACAGTGTTGGGGCATCAAGAATTGCTGCAGTGACAGAGATGTAGATTAGGTTCTATTATATAGGGGAATTTTTAATATTTAGAGCTGCCCGAAAATGGCACAGTCTCCCTAAGTGGTAAATTCTCCCTCTCTGGAAAATTTTAAGCATGAGAGCTTTTAAAAAGAAATTGTTTTATAAACTTTCCAGGTTTGTGATCTGTGTATTTTCCTAGCCTTGTTCCTTTGCTCTGAAAACAAATTTTGTCAAACATTTAGGAAGATCTGACATGCGCTAGGTATAAAGTAGCCTGAACCCTCACTTGCAGACTCCTGGCAGAGTCTCCAGGAGCAGGCAAGGCAGTTGGGAATTACAACAGCATGAAGTCATACTTCCACCCCCACCCCAAACACCCAATCTTCAGAATTGCTTAGCCGGTAGGTACAAATCTGTCTCCAGTTCCTTGACATTCTCTTTTCTGGGCTCATTCTCCACTTCCAGGTCTCTGCTCATATTCTACCTATTCCTGAGACCTTTGTTACAAAACTTTTCAGTATATACTGTGCCAGCCTCCACATGCCCCCAAGCCAAACCCAGCACCTAAGTGATTGATTCCAAGTAATTGTTACATTATCTTTTTTTTTTATTTCTGCCAAAAGATATTTTACTTCAAATGAGAAGTTTTGGTACCCAAAGAATCTATAATTGGTGGAATATAGCACTCCTAATTCCACGAACATAATTTTACCTCCCTACCATGAACACACGTGTTTACTCTCTCTCTTTCTCAGGCAAGCAGCCTGATATATTGAAGGAACCAGTTGCTTAACGATCTGTTATAGTTTGTTTTTGCTTTTTAAAGCCACTTTACTTGGTAAAATGTGGTCTCAAAACTCCAAGCTTGGCCAAAGAGGAAAAGCCCCCACTGAGGATGGAGACTAAAGCGTAGTCTCTGAGTTTTAGTTTTTCTTGGAGTATATTTGGCCAAATTCCTCTGCCACCACCACACTGGCCTCGGGAAAGCCTTTCTCCCTTTCTCAGTTTCTCCAGAATGTATTGGGAAGCCCTCCTCAAGTCAGCAGAGTGACCCACCTGGCTGCAGCACAGTGCAGGGGAAGGAGGGCCCTGAGGAGAGCTAGATACAGTTCTGGGTTTAATTCCCATGCCACTACTGCCAAGCTGTATGCTTTGAGTTTGGGATATTGCATCATCGGTGGCCACCCTCCCTCCTAAAAGCTCAGTAGAAGAAACAGACATGAGAACACCAGCAAATACAATCACCAAAGCTAACTGTGCATTATGTAGATGAAAACAACACAGAAAATGGACTGGTCTTGCAGTGTCAATCTGAGTTTTTATCATGTCCCTTTTGTGCCCAGAAAAGGATTTTCAGAGGGTCATTCTGGCTTTTTAAATTTTATATTCCCTGTATTAAACATGCAAATTAGAAGTCCAGTTCTTCCTTAAGTTTTTATATTTAACTTACGAACAAATATATTTTAAAATCTCTTTAAAGGGTTGTATCTGATGACTATTTGCTACCATTTATAAATGTAATTAATAAGACTTATTTAAACAAATTTAAAATATATTTTATAAATTTAACATATTCCATACCTTTATAAAGTAATTTGGTCGTCTGAGATAATTAATAAGACATTCCTAAATACCACCCCCCCGCAAAAGAAAACCCTCTTACAAAACTAACGATTTATAAATGTGGTGGTTCAATTTTTATGTTTCAAAACTACTTTTAAAGGGAAGTTCTATTTCAAATCACACGTTTAAACCAATTATACCTTTTAAATTAGAATTGCAAGGCCAATTTGTTACTGTAATAGACTCAATTCTCTTAAACCCTGAAAATACCTAAAATACCAAATATGCAGAAATTTCTTAATACAAACATATGATGCTATGTGTTTGATTCTCTTAAATATTTCTATCCTTAATTTAAAAATCTCTAGATATTAAAACAAACTTACCCACTAAGAAATAATTATGTCATCCTAAATGGTTGGGGTGCCCTTCCCAAGTGACTCTTTTGGAAACAGGTCCTCAGTGGCCCAGAGAGCGTAATCAGCAGAGAATTGTCCCAAGGCTTTCATGCAGCTCTTCTCAGGCCCCCAACTGCCCCACTGAGCCCTGTTTTATGGATGCCGTGTCATTACTCTGTGAAAGAGTCAGTTTCACAGTCAAAGCCCCTAGATTCAAGTTACACTTTGTCTAATTCTTCAACCTACACACGGAAGTCAGAAACTCCTACCCAGGTTGCTCTACCACTTGTTTGGATATAATTAACCTATTTAAAGATTCATTCTATTCTGAATTCTTTCCATACTCTTTCCAGCTTCTGAGTCCACAACTTCTTTCAGATACTGAATGACCGAATTTCTCCTGGTGTTGCCTAACTCTGGTCACAGACCTAATGTCACACCAGAGACATATAACAGGAAGATTAACATGTAAGAGATAAACAAGTTTTGGATTAGGACGAATGAAATCCAGGAAGAGGTGGGAGAAAAATGTTACAGAATTCATTTGATTCATTAGACATTTCTATTATTGTTTGATATGTTTCAATGGTATTATTTTTACTTGCCTCTGAAGCTAGATAGTGAATCATTGATTGTAACAATTTGGGTGTGTTTGTTTAGCTTTAAATGGCAGCACATGTTAGAAACCCAGTGACGGGGAAAAAAGAAAACCCAAGAACTTTTGTACTCTCAAGTCAGTACTTGGAATAGATGGGTGATTATGGAGAAGCAAACAAACAAAAACGAATGAGTTGACACAGGTGTCGCTTAGATTAGGACCTTGAATGATTGGGTATGATGCTCCACTCACCAAGACTGAGACGGCAGGATCAGGGGCAAGTTTGGAAGCCTGGAAGACAAGTGGTTTTCATTAAGGTACCTGTGGGACACTGAGGGGACTAGTAACAGTAGATAAATGGAGATGTGTGCCTGGAATTTGGGAAATTGGGCCTGGAGATATGCTTTTGGGAGCAAATAAGTGGTGGTTGAAGCCGTGGAAGCGTACCAAGTCACTCAAGAGAGTGCGGTGTGGGCTAAGAATAGGACCTAAAAATAGGATCCTGAGAAACACCATCATTTAAGGTGCAGACAGAGGAAGTGGAGCCTGCCCAGGACACTAGAGTGAAGCCAGAGGGGTAGAAGAATGTTGTTTTTTTCTTTTCCAGTCTGTCTTCCTTGATCAGAAGCACAGGAGTGGGCAAGATAGCAGTGAGAGTGGTGGGCAGATCATGGTATTGCTGGGCTGCCTGGATGCTGTGGGAAGCTATGACTGGGGTGGATAGTGTGCATGTGGCAGGGAGCAGAGAGCTCTGCCTTAGATCTCTTTTTCTAAAAAGCAGGGAAGGGGATTGGGAGTCAGAATTTTTGGATTCTCTGCTTGCTCTACCAGGTCACTTTTCACCAATCATCCTTTCCTTATTCTAAGCCCTAGTCTTTGTAGGAAAATCTTTCTAAATATAGAAAGGGCAGTGTGTGGAGGAAGCAGAGTTGGTAGAGGGAAGGAGAGGGGCTGCCTTATTGTTGAATGTGTGTCTATGTGTATGTGTGTTTGTTGTGCACACAAGTACACATGTGTGAGTACATGTTCCTGAGTATGTATGTTTATGAGTATGGGTGTGTATGTCTTATGTTGGCATTTATGTGGGTGTGTGTGTATAATATGTGTATATTTTTCTTTGTGTGAGTATCTATCCAGATAGGTATAGAAATTGAGAGGAAGCATTGAGAAACTTTTATGCCAATTCGATAGAGTAATTTTATGTTAATTGAATTTAATAACCCCAAATTTGGCCTTGTGTTTTCTGTATCTGCATGTTCTATTTCATTTTCCTGGTAATTTATTTCATTGTATTTTATGAAATTATTGATCTGTGGCAGACTGCATGTAAAACTGTTTCTTTGCTACAGTTAGAGAAGCCCTCATTAGGACCAGATCAAGATTCTTGGAAGGTTCTGATTCTGAAATTCTCAAGGGAGAGAAATTCACTTGAGAAATCTGGGGTTCTTGCTCTGGGTCATATCCGTGAGGCATAAGATCAGCTTGAGCACTCGAGCACAAGCAAGGGGGTTAGGCCTTAGATCTGACTGGCATCCCAGGCCTGCTCTTCCTCCTCATCATGAGGAATGGGACCACCTGGCAGTTCTCAAGAGGGTGGATGGCAGAGTCCAGGCTGCTCCTCCAAGCCGAGCCTGCTCGGGGTGCTGCCCTCCCTCCTGTCTGCCAAGCAAGTGAAGTTGATGCCTCACAGAGATAGGAAGGGATTTTTGAACCTCCATACTTCGAGTCCCCCACCCCCACCATGCCCCAGACAGTAACACACACTCAATCAGGAAGAGCAGTCTTTTACTGAAGCAAAATAAGACACATTCCTTTGTCTGACTTAGCGAACCCAGCGCAGATTCTTCTGCCCTCCTTCCTTAAATAATCTCCTCCACCTAAGATCCCTCCGAATTGTCTAACCACAGCCCTTCTAAGGCCTTGACCTTAGTTTGCATTTGTAATTTTATATTTTCCTTCTTTAAGACAGTCTCTAAAATATTATATGCCATAGGCGCCACAAAACCTGGACCCACCCTTGCCTTAGTGCTTGAAGGGCCACATGATATTACATATTCAGAAAGCAATGTATTCAGCAATGAAAATGTTAAAGAGAATCACCTCTCTTCCCTCATCATTTCAAGCATCCATAAAACCCTCTCTGGAATTAAAAGTATGCGAACTTAGGTATGCAGGAGAGAAGTGGTATTTGCAAAGAAGATAAGGATTAGTAGAGAATTCAAGGAAGGGGAGGACACAGCAGCTTCAGGAGTCTGCAGAGCTTGGAGTGAGGGGAACACCTGACTTTAGACATCAAGGGTACAGGAACCAGCAGGTACCTTAGGTCATCCTTCTGTTGTGGAGGGTCCCAGGCCATGATGTAAGGAGCATCTGGTTGCTTTTTTACACCTGCAGTCTGGGTGCTTCTCCATGTTCAGGGACATGGGCTTCTGGCTCAAGTGACAGCTTTTATGGCTGTTCTTGTAGGCTGTGGTGGGGGTCTGGCAGGTGGCGGCCATATTGTAGAAGGATTTATGCAGAAAAGTGTTGAGGTCTTTGCAGTGTTTTGTATACTTGTTGGCATTGCCTGTTGCCATGTTGCATCCTGGGGGCTGGGCTGCTTGTTTGAGTTTCAAACCCCTGTGCTGAGGTCATGTGTTTGGGCTTGGCACTGAATGGGACCTGGGCCACCTAGAGGCAGGCAGCAGGAGCAGCAGCAGGAGACAGAATCCTGCTCTGGCAGTTGCCTAAGGGGGACAATGCCACAGAGGAAGAGGTAGGTGGGTGAGTAGATCACCAAATGGAGGGCCCTGCTAGCCCTTCTAAGAATTTCGTACCCTAAGTCAATCATTGCAGGGCTCCTGCAGCCTTGAATATTTAAGAAAACCATTGGCATTTTATTGTTCAGTCCCAGCAGATCATGTACTTTTTTATGCCCCCAATAAATACTTATATTGTTTATCCTTCAAAAGAGTTTTATGAAGTGAGTATGATTACTTTTCTTTATATATGAGCCAACTGAGACTCAGAAAAGTTAAGGAAATTGCCCATCGTTACACAGCTAGAGAGTGTCAAACACAAGATTTTAATCAATGCCTCTTGGCTTCCAAAGCTCCGATTCTCTCCACCCGCCCATGTTTCTTGTGTGAAACTCTGAGAAGTCAGACTACAAAAGGAAGCTAATCTTGGAAGAAAAATAAGCCGTGGGTCCATAACTCACTCTCCTAGGCTAACTCAGGCAT